TAAAGAAAATCTAAATCTATGAAAACCCCTAAATTTTTCTCTTAAGGAAAATCATGAAAGAGAAATGAGAAATCCTAGATCTAAAGCTTACCTTAATCTTCCCTTTCCTTGCACTTCACTTTCCCTCAAGTCCGGCCGCCGGAAATCACCGTCGTAGCCGCTGTGGCCTTGGTCCCGTCACCCCTCTCCGCCTCCCTCTCCCTTGGGTTCGGCCTCAAGAAACGAATGGGGACTGAATGGATTTAGGTCCCCTTAAGAGTGGATGGCTATGGTTAATTGCATAATGTCCTAAATACCCTGAAGAAATTCTAAAAGTAGATGAAGAAATAGAAGGACATTTTCGTCATATTGGGAAATTTAAAAAATTTATATAAATTTTAATTTTCAAACTAAGCGAAATTCCTTATAGGTTCTGTATAGCAATTTGTTCGAAATTTTATTTACGATTTTATAAAATTATTTTCGTCGGAATTCGACGACTTCAAAATTTTGCCTAATTTTATCGCGACGCATCCAAATGCGTGCGATGCCTACGATCGATATTTTTTGAGTTTTACATATAATACCAAAAAATACTCAAAATAATCTACGCATAAACTCTCGTTACATTAAATTGTATTTGTAATTTCAAGCATTTTGACATATAGATGTATATGTAAATTACTAATTTAATATATGCATAATTATTAATTTTCTATACCAGCTACTTTAAAACTAAGTTAAATAACTATTAAATTATAACTAGTAAAAGTTAATTAATATTCAACAGGCACTTTACATTTATTATTATTATTATCACTTTAGTTGAAATCACTTAAATGCACATGCAATGGATAGATTAAATCATGCGGTTGGGAGATTGAAGATAGAAGGCTATTATTAGTGGAGCCTTAGTGATAAAATTATATTAAGAAATTTCCTGAAGCATTAAATCTTAGCCATTTGTTCATTTCTTCCCTCCCCATTCATGCGTGCGAAGCAGCTTCTGTGCAAGCCGTAGGATAGCTGGGAGCTGAAGGAGGCGGGCTGCTGTGTGGAGCTGAATTCTACAACTGGTTGCTGGAATTGGGTTAGACAACAGAGTGTTTATTATTAGGAATTCTACAATTAGTAAGAACAGTTGGTGATGTTGTATGCTATTGTAGTTGTTGAAATTAGTGTGTATGTGCTGAAATTAATTGCTGGAATTTAGTAATTCAGTAAAGAAATAAAACAATTTTTGAATGCTAAATGTTCCTAATTGCTGAAATTCTTATATGCTGAAACCATTTGTTGAATTCAATCGGATAAGAAAGGAAAAGGAGGAGATTAGGGAGGAGATTAGGAAAGATTTTTGGTTGAATGAGGAATAATGCTTTTGAGGTTGTTTATAAATGAAAAAGTGGCTGGGGTTTCGGAGAGCATCACCCGAGTACTCTAGAGGATGAGGTGAGATACCCGAACGATGCATAGAAAATAGTAAAATTTTATACATTTGCACATTAATATTTGTTATGTTTATGAAAGCATTTATTTCAATTTATTCCCCTTTATTCATATATGTGAATTGTTGAATCACTAAGTAGTACCAATTACATTAGTATTGTATGATTATGAAAATGGAAGAGTTGAAAAGTGAAATAAGTCATATATGGGGGATAGACTCGCACAGGTTAAACGAAAGACCTGATGAGGTAAGCTCACACTCTCTAAAATCTAAAAGTTCGGAATTTGGACCCAATCACAAATGACGGAGCAACTTCAATTTTAAAAGTTGGGAATTCAAACCCAATTTTGAATTGAAAAATAGAAATGGTGTAAAAGGTTATAGTCATCATATGACTTGTTTAAAGGTATTGAATAGTAAACAAGATAGGATGTGATATTATGCATTTCTTATGTGATATAGAATTTAAATATGTTTTAAATTAATTATTAAAATGTAATTGTTATTTCTTTTGCATTGCTTGCATATTTTATTAAGCCCTAGCTCATTAGCAGTGGTTGCACTGAAGTAAAGGGGAAGGAGCCAGTAGGACATTAGTTGGAAAGGAGTGACTGCTCTTTTTAGTGTACATTTATTTTGAGTGTATATAGAAATTCAAGTGGAGGCTGTATAGAGACTTTTGGTGTATGTAAATAAATTTTAGTAAAGCTCTGTATCTCTTTTTAAATGTGCATTATTTTTAAGGTTATTTGAGGTATATCATATGCTTCTTGTTGTTAAGTATAAAACTTTATATGTTAGGAGAGTTTTAATAGATTATTTTTTTACTCATTTGATTTTAATTTAAGTAGTTCAGAATGGGTGCCAGTAAGAAGAGTGTTGTTTAGATTTTCCTTCTTTATTACACTCTTGGTTGAGAGAGGGGGGGGGGGGGCAAAATGGGGTGTGACATCCATACCATATAGTTATAGCATCTCCGATGAGAACTTACAACCTGCCCACACCAGCAAAAGAGCAAAAAAATACAATCAATAGTTAGAGAGCAAGATAACTAGAATCACAGATGCCATCAACAATGTGGCGACAAAAGCAAAATTCAAGGATATAGTATAACAGTAAGTGACTGTGAGAAATATCACCTTTAAACTTCTACATTGTGGTTTTCAACCTAATTGCAAAATGAATTTTAGAAACTAGAATGTTAGTGTCCTTTTGTATTAAAAAATCCTACAATTTTTTTCATGCAGCAATGAATGAGCAGTGATATGAATGGCAAGAAGAAAAAATTCTTAGTAATTTACTTTTAATTTCATCTTCATATCTAAACTCTTGATCATATTGCAGCTAAAGTGAAAGGAACTGTGTGGTATGCATTTTGGAAGATGTTGAAGGCATAAGTGCAATCGAAGAAAAAATGATCTTGAGATTCCAAAAAGAAAGTACACAATTTTTCTCAACATTAATTCACGTAGCTTGTAGGACACCCTTGTCTTTATGCCACCAACATGGATTTTCCAAACAAAAGGTGCATTTGCAGTGGAGCATTCTTTAAACCAAAGAAATTTGCTCCAAGGAACTTTGGGCTCAGTCATATATAGTTTGTCCTGGTTTCTTTGCAAGAAAAGGTGTTCTCCCCAACCAATAAAATCTAGTATTGGAAATGTGAATCTCAATTTGGATAATTTGATGGACACAATCATTATAGATGGGGTTTGTGGATGGGAAAAATCACTATTTTCCATTGAAAATAAAATCATTGGAGGTGAAATGATGGGAGCAATTAAAGGGGACACAATTACAGAGCTTTTAAATACTTCAATAAGAGATTTTCCTTTGAACCAAGGATCATGAAAGAAAAAGGTGATGATTGCTATTAACCTTAAGATTTAGCCAACTTCTACTTCTTATAGTAGTGTTACAAGGAGCTTTCAAAAAACGAGTAGCATTATGTGAAGGCTCAGTCCAGCAAGATAAATAATTGTTAAAAAGCCATGTGACAAGTTAAGTAGTAGAGTTAAACAGTCTCCATATAAGTTTGCACTTGCTGATGGTATGCGAAGAGTCAATATTGGGAAGGCCAAGCCCTCCTTTATCAGTATGTTTGGTGGTGGTGTCCAATATATGAGTTTGATTTTCTTGTGCTCTCCATTCTTGTGGAGAAAAAATTATGGTAAGGATAGTTATTTCCTTATAATGCCTTTTGAGATAATGGTAGATCTGAACTAATATTGAAGACCCTAAAGTGGATCTGACAAGCTAGAATCTGCCAGTAAAACTGCTCAAATTTTGTCCATTTGTGAAACAAATCACACTAATACACTGAATATGTCGAATTTGGATGTTATCTTGTTCTATCGCTTCATCTCTTTTGTCAGGTTGGATTTCCTTTTGATCTTATTTCCAGGATGGACAGCACCAAATGAATTTCTGTAGCTCAACTTTATATTCAAGAATCTCTACTTCTAGCAATAATTTTAGAACTCTTGAGTAAACTTCTTCTCAACCTAGGGAGTTGTTAGAAACATCTACTACAAGATTTCTAGTCCTCATTATTTGTTTATGCTAGTCTACAGAACATTATTTAACAGGCCCGTCTATATTGTCAACTTTACTTATCTTTTTGTAATTTATTTGGTGTAGATAGTCTTCTGTCCTAGTGAGCGTTCTTGTCAATTTATGATTGGGTTAATTTGTCCAAAAAAATTATAGCTACTATTTCAAATAATCAGGTTGTCATTAAATGATATTTTATTATGGAATAAAGATATGGCCTGCATTTGGTATCTTCTTTGAGAATCAATTTCCCTTGTTTTCTCCTCATCATGTGGCTCTTTCTCTATTTTTACCCTTTCCTCACCACTCTTGAGGCATTCATTTGTCTTTTTTTTTTTTTTTCCTTTTTTTTACTTCTCCTTAGTTTTTTGGCTGCACTTGATTTTTAATTCTTTTCTTCTCAACAATAAGATCTTGAAAGTCCATCCCAAACTTCCCTTTTGTTGTCTTGCTTATCAGTTACATAACTCATACTTATATCACTGTTTATTATATCATGACAGCACTTGTATCGATTTGATTTAAAAGTGTAAGCTTACAAATTGATGCCTAGCAATAACTTTGAAAATTAATAAAACCTACTCTGCTTATCGAGAGCTTATATGATGAAGATAAACTTATGATAATCTCATATTGAGTTGCAACAAAATAACCATAATTGAGCCATGGCATAAAAATTTACCTTGTAATAAAACTTTGATCAGGCAACTTGTAGAAGAATGTGCAAGAACTTTAATGGACATAATTAAGTGGCACAACTTTTGTTAATGTTTGTTTATTTATATTACAAATTAAGTTTAATTTCTTGTGCTTGAACTTTGTTCAAATGGCTAAGCAGATAAACACAATTGTCATATCTAGTCCATGAATCAAGCTATTTAGAGTGTAGGTTATTTGTAATTTGGTACGTTCAAGTTTGGAAGATAACGCCTGCAATACATAGTCTTAGTAACTTGGTTTACTTCTCTGATGTCTTACTGTGTGAATATCTTTCCTCTAAAATATTTTTTTATGATTTCAGATGCACAAAGTCTTGCTTCCATTTTTCATCGCACTAATGATAACACCTGCAACACATAGTCTTGAAGGAACATTGCTGGTAATGTTGATCTGATGTATTCCAAATGTTACTTCTTCTCCTTAGCTGTTTTTATTTATAGGTGCTAATCATCAGCAGCAAATAAATTTTTGTTATAAATGCTTTTTCATGATTTTTGTATATTAATTTAAGTTTAAATTTACCATATTAAAATTTACCGATTGAGCATACCTCCAACACCATTTCTAGAGCTCTTCCGACAATAGATTGGGTAATAAATTCAACTACTTGAATGACCCGAACCAAAATAGGTAATTCAATCCTAACTCATAAAGATCCAATAAGTTCAAAATTGAATTGTAATGGAAGGATCCCAAAACATTTCATTTAATCAACTACAAAGGTCTAATTAACATCAATCACAGAACATTAGGTTTTATTGTATACATTATATTAGCACGATTCATATCTTTCATCATTGCTAAAAATCAAAACTGAGTAGCAAATCAAAACTGTCTTCCTCACTCAAACTCAACCTTGTCTTTTCCTCTATCTGTAATAACAGTTAGAATAATAATCCAATGAGCTATAAAACAAAATAAACCATTCTAGTACATAATTTAAATACTCGTGGAATGGATGTAACAAGAAATATTAATCCTAATGTCACGACCCAGCCCGGTAAGCTCGCATAGGCGATGTGGAAACGAAAGTCGGACAGTAAAATTTAAAAACATTTACATTTCATAATCAAAACATCTCCAAATATATAGAAGCCACTAAAAGATTTGAAGTGAAAAATTTTCGTTCTTTTCATCTATTATTCAATATATAAGAAATTAAACATAAAGGTTCAAAATGTAAAAGAGCATCCATAAATCTTCTCTTACAAGCCATCTTGTATCATTCTAATTCAAAATATAAAAAAATCAAAAAGAAGGAATTTGTCTCCCGTCGTCTCCCTACGACGATACGTAAAGGATTGTCTATTCGCCATTATTGTTTATCAAGTTCTCCTGAAAAGTATTCCATAAGTTGGGTGAGTCACAACTCAGTAGATAAAATGACATTCAATTAAATTTAGAGGCAAGAAAAGAAGTACAACATGCATATTCTTCTAAGTAAAGAAACATGCAACATGTCATAATACATCATTTAAAGTAAAAATGCATCTAATTCAATCTGTATGTTCTCTTTTTTTGCATAAACTTGCAATCATTTCTTATTAACCATTCATAATTCATTTGATGCCTCATAAACATATAGTATAATGACATGATATCATAATGACATAATATTAATCATCCGTCGCGGAAGTATCATTTGTTTTGTACAGATCATATACACTTTTAATTGACATTTCCTTTACCATTTGATTCTAAAGAACCCCTTTATGATTTGTCTCAAAAGAGCCCCTTTACCATTAGCTCAGAAGAGTCCTTTTACCATTGATACTCCGCATCAAACATGCACATGCAAACATTCCTTTTATTCATAGAGGAGACTTTAGCATGCATTCATGTGTATGATCTAATGCTCTATATGATGTTAAATGTTTGCATAATTACATGAAAAGAGAGGGATGATCATATATACTACATGTAAAAGAAGGCATATGCATTATATGTAATAGAAACATAAGTTTTATACTTTCTACTATCATTACTTGAGAGATTTGCATTTGTATCAAGTGTCCAAGAGCATTCATGTAAAAACATGTTATCCATATATGAAAGTACAAGTTGCATATAAAAGAAATAAGTTTTTACATGAATGCATTTAGAGAACTTTCCAAATTTAAAAGAATTTCATTTTACCTATCTTACCGCAGTGTGATTTGCCAAACGTCCTAACAAACTCTTTCCTTTACACGATCAATATCTAAAAGAAACAAGACATAATGTGTAAACATCATTTATTCCCACATAAACATCTCAAAACCCTAATCTATATGAATAAAGAACTCATCCATACACTATTCTTACACTTTCTAATTGAACCCTTTTCCCAATTCATAATTAATCTCATTCTTATTTTCTCTAAAATTGGGATATAATAATCATAATCTTAACTTTTTGGACACCTCCTTCATGTCCATTGCATAACACATGCATAAAGAACCTACCTTACACTTAAATATTAATTAAAATACAATAAATTTTCGGATTAACATAATTTAAAAATTAGAAAAATAACCTTTTATGCAAAAGTTCTAATTCTTGCTTCTAAATACCTTTCTAAGCCTATTTGGAATCAAGATACTTAAAAATTTTCATAATTTTACAAAGTCCTAAATCTTGGAACTTGAAATTTCACTATGAAATTAATTTATCTTCCTATAGAAGCTTTCTAATGCTATTAGGAAGCTTTCTTACAAAGTCATTTTGAAAGAATACAAAATTCCGAAAAAATCCTGATTTTTTAAATCTAAAATTTTTAAGGAATCATCTCATTTTTATGCTTAGAGTCATCCCCTAAACTTTTCCTATCATTATCTTAAATGGATTTGAAGTTTCCCTCAAACCCCAGATTTTTCCCTTAAATAAAACTCTACAAAAGCATGAGGCATCTCTTGAATACAACTCACCTTATCCTTCCTTTAGTCTTCCCTATGATTTCCTCCACGATCGGCCGCCGGAAACTGCCCCTAGTGTTGCCGTTCGTCTCTCCCGTCGACTCTTCCCGTCGCCTCCCTTCCGCTCAGTTTGACCGCAAGAACGAAATGGGGACCACATGTATTTCGGTCCCCTAATAAGAGTGGGGGCATAGGGTTCAATGCCCTTACTTATTATTATCTCCACTTAATGTCATGAAGGGTAATTTTGTCATATAGAAACTTTTATGAATTTTAACTTCCAAATTACACGAAATCCAATATGGTTTCTTTATACCGATTTGCTTAGAATTTTGCATACTATTTTATAAAATTGATTGCGTCGAATTTCGACGACTTTAAAATTTTGCCTAATTTCGTCGCGGCGTATTGAAATGCGTGCAACGCTAATGATCGGTATTTTCGGGTTTTACACCTAACTTGGCAACAAAAATTTAAAGCACGATCATAGATTTATTTGGTGCATTACATATAATTATTGTGAAATTAGATTACTTGAGTAATGACATAGAATGCCAATAAGTTAGGTAATTATATTAAATGAATCATAAGAGAAATGCGAAGTGTCCAATCAACATAGGCGTTATGTTAGTCAAGTTTCTAGTAGTTACATGTTAGATCAATCATTTTAAAACGTCCATATCATCATTTTACATCTCTTGTTTCATAACCTACTATATCATATCATATAAAACATTATTTGTTTTATTATAACTTGTCTTTGTTTTAAAATATGTTATAGATCATTGCTATCATAAGGTGGTGGATTGTATTAGACCCCCAATGACATATATATATATATATATATTGAACAGTACGATTTTATACAAATTAAATATATTATTCAACTAATCTTTTCACCCGTAATGTTTAAGATCTTATGATTAGATGTAAGTACTGTATGTGCAGTATTTCATTTTGTGATGAGGTTGCATATCATATCATATCATATAGAACATTATTGTTTTGTTATAACTTATCTTGTCTTAGTTTTAAAATATATTATAGACAATTGCTATCATAAGGTGATGGATTGTATTAGACCCACAACGACATATCATCATCATATAACCCTACAACAGTAGCCAGAATAAAATTTGGTGAGCTAAAAAGCCCAGAAAGATATGTAATTCTAATAAAAAATTAAATGAACAATTTAGTGCTATATATGATTACACTCATAATTAAATTAACTTGTATGTCATTTACAAAGCAATTTAAAACATATACATGCTCATTAAATGCAGTTTTTTTACAATATAATAGGTAGACATTTATTTTGTCTTTTAATGATTGAAGAACCACACTTTTTACTTGGACATATAAACATTTTGCATTTTTTTTGAAGTTTGTAAATAATATCATAATTATTTATCTCTAATTTTTGCTATATCATATAACATGATGTTAACTTTATAACTTCATAATAATGTTCAATGGAGCATAGGTAGAATCTGACATTATTACCATTGAACTATATTGTTTACTAAAAAAATGATGATCAATGAAATAGAGAAATTGTGAAAGATAAGAAGCGAGATACCTGCCGTCGAGTCAGGTCCCACCTTACGCGGTTTGTTTCCAAATGAAACAACTCTCCATTCAAATGAAGATAACCACCCGCTCACTTCCTTAAAACGAGTGGTAGGTGTGATCGAATGATTCATTCGGACTCTTCCCTCCGCTCGTCACTCGATATCGCACACAGACAAAGAAAGCCGAAGCCCAAGCAATCTCCCATTCCCTCACTTCTGCCAAATCCCTCCGCCTGTTCACCTGACGCCACATACATTCAACCGAACATCGACCTTTCCCTTGTATTGTCAAATCAACGCCCCATGCCGGCCTACCTCCACACGTCGACTCCTTCCGATGCCATAGCCTTCGCCTCTCACACGTCCGACCAACGTCAGATCGACCCGCCTCCGCGTCATTTGCACCCTATATACGACCAGGCTACTCCAATTTGCGGACCAAGTCCTCTTTCATTCAGTATAAGCCCTTCGATCAAGCCTATATTTTTCCACTTAGACCCGCACATTTCCTGCTTTGTTCGAAATTCACTACAGTGTGTGTATACATGATACTTGAAGCAAAAGGCATAATCAATGTTTAAAATTGCGTATTCGGGTATTTATTGAGGCGTTTTTCATTCGTGAGGCGAGGCGTAAGCCTCAAGGCGTTTTGAGGCGTAAGCCTCAAAATCAAAAGATTGCATAAATATAAAATGATAAATTTTTTATATACTAAGGAATGAATAATATAAAACATAAAAAAAAGCATAAGATATGAAGTGAAATCAAAATATCTCAATAAGAAGACAACATGAAATATAGTTCAACGCAAAATTCTCTCTTTCTCAAATCCCAATATTCTTTTCATTAACATATAATTCCAATTTCCAAAAATAAATAACAATGACATATCACATAAGAACTCATAAGTC